CTCACTCACCCGCTCACTCACTCACCCGCTCACTCACTCACTCACCCGCTCACTCACCCACCCACCCGCTCACTCACCCGCTCACTCACCCACTCACTCACTCACCTGCTCACTCACCCACTCACTCACCCGCCCAGTCACCCCACTCACCCACTCACTCACCCCCACTCACCCTCACCACTCCTCACCGCACTCCTCACCGCTCGCCAGGTGGAGCGGAGCGCCGGGCGCTCCGTCAAGGAGTTTGAGGACAGGAAAGTGGAGCTCACCCCGCTCCCTCACCCCGCTCACCACTCCTCACCCCACTCCTCACCCTCACCACTCCTCACCCCACTCCTCACCGCTCGCCAGACGGAGCAGGTGGAGCGGAGCGCCGGGCGCTCCGTCAAGGAGTTTGAGGACAGGAAAGTGGAGCTCACCCCGCTCCCTCACCCCGCTCACCACTCCTCACCCCACTCCTCACCCTCACCACTCCTCACCCCACTCCTCACCCTCACCACTCCTCACCCCACTCCTCACCGCTCGCCAGACGGAGCAGGTGGAGCGGAGCGCCGGGCGCTCCGTCAAGGAGTTTGAGGACGGGAAGGTGGAGCTCACCCCGCTCCCTCACCCTCACTCACCACTCCTCACCCTCACCACTCCTCACCCTCACCACTCCTCACCCTCACCACTCCTCACCCTCACCCCACTCCTCACCGCTCGCCAGACGGAGCAGGTGGAGCGGAGCTATGTGCGGGAGCGCCGGGCGGCGGTGAAGGAGTTTGAGGACAGGAAAGTGGAGCTCAAGGAGAGCCTCGTGGCCGAGCTGGAGGAGAAAAAGAAGATCATCGAGACGGAGCGCCTCACCATGGAGCTCACCGGCGGTGAGGAGGAGACGCTCACCGGCTCGCTCACCGGCTCGCTCACCGGCTCGCTCACCCACTCACTCACTCACCCATTCAATCACTCACTCGCTCATTCAATCACCCACTCGCTCACCCACTCGTTCACCCACTCGGTCATTCAATCACCCACTCGCTCACCCACTCACTCGCTCACTCGCTCATTCAATCACTCACTCGCTCACCGGCTCGCTCACTCACTCGCTCACCCACTCGCTCACCCATTCAATCACTCGCTCATCCACTCGCTCACCCTCTCGCTCACCCACTCATTCATCATCGAGACGGAGCGCCTCACCATGGAGCTCACCGGCGGTGAGGAGGAGACGCTCACCGGCTCGCTCACCGGCTCGCTCACCGGCTCACTCACCCACTCGCTCACCCACTCGCTCACCCACTCGCTCATTCATTCAATCACCCACTCGCTCACCCACTCGCTCATTCAATCACTCACTCGCTCACCCACTCACTCGCTCACCCACTCGTTCACTCGCTCACCCACTCACTCACCCACCCACTCACTCAATCACTCACTCGCTCACCCACTCACTCGTTCAATCGCTCATTCAATCACTCACTCGCTCACCCACTCGCTCACCCGCTCGCTCACCCGCTCGCTCACTCACCCGCTCACCCACTCACTCGCTCATTCAATCACTCACCCACTCGCTCACCCACTCACTCGCTCACTCGCTCACTCAATCACTCATTCAATCACCCACTCGCTCACCCACTCATTCATCATCGAGACGGAGCGCCTCACCATGGAGCTCACCGGCGGTGAGGAGGAGACGCTCACCGGCTCGCTCACCGGCTCGCTCACTCACTCGCTCACCCACTCGCTCACCCACTCGCTCATTCATTCAATCACCCACTCGCTCACCCACTCACTCACCCACTCGCTCACCCACTCACTCGCTCATTCAATCACTCACTCGCTCACCCACTCGTTCACTCGCTCACCCACTCGTTCACTCGCTCACCCACTCACTCACCCACTCACTCATTCAATCACTCACTCGCTCACCCACTCACTCGTTCAATCGCTCATTCAATCACTCACTCGCTCACCCACTCGCTCACCCGCTCGCTCACCCGCTCGCTCACTCAACCGCTCACCCACTCACTCGCTCATTCAATCACTCACCCACTCACTCACCCACTCGCTCACCCACTCACTCGCTCACTCGCTCATTCAATCACTCACTCGCTCACCCACTCGCTCACCCGCTCGCTCACCGGCTCGCTCACCGGCTCGCTCACCCACTCGCTCACCCATTCAATCACTCACTCGCTCATTCAATCACCCACTCGCTCACCCACTCGCTCATCCACTCGCTCACCCTCTCGCTCACCCACTCATTCATCATCGAGACGGAGCGCCTCACCATGGAGCTCACCGGCGGTGAGGAGGAGACGCTCACCGGCTCGCTCACCCACTCGCTCATTCAATCACTCACTCGTTCACCCACTCGTTCACTCGCTCACCCACTCACTCGCTCACCCACTCACTCGCTCACCCACTCACTCGCTCACCCACTCACTCGCTCACCCACTCGTTCACTCGCTCACCCACTCACTCGTTCACTCGCTCACCCACTCACTCGTTCACTCGCTCACCCACTCACTCGTTCACTCGCTCACCCACTCACTCGTTCACTCGCTCACTCGCTCACCCACTCGTTCACTCCCTCATTCAATCACTCACCTGCTCACCCACTCACTCGCTCACTCACTCGCTCACCCACTCACTCGTTCACTCGCTCACCCACTCACTCGTTCACTCGCTCATTCAATCACTCACCTGCTCACCCACTCACTCGTTCACTTGCTCATTCAATCACTCTCTCACCCACTCGCTCGCCCACTCACTCGTTCACTCGCTCACCCGCTCATTCAATCACCCACTCGCTCATTGAATCGCTCGCTCACCCGCTCACTCAACCGCTCATTCAATCACTCACTCGCTCACCCACTCACTCGTTCACTCGCTCACCCACTCACTCGTTCACTCGCGTATTCAATCACTCACTCGCTCACTCACTCACTCGCTCACCCATTCACTCACTCACCCACTCACTTGCTCACCTACTCACCCATTAACTCGCTCTTCCACTCACTCACTCGCTCACTCAATTACTCGCTCACCCACTCACTCGCTCACCCACTCACTCGCTCATTCAATCACTCACTCGCTCACTCAATCACTCGCTCACCCGCTCACCCACTCACTCGCTCACCCATTCACCCATTAACTCGCTCTTCCACTCACTCGTTCACTCACCCACTCACCCATTAACTCGCTCTTCCACTCACTCGCTCACCCACTCACTCACTCGCTCTTCCACTCACTCGCTCTTCCACTCACTCGCTCACTCACCCACTCACTCACTCGCTCACTCTTCCACTCACTCACCCACTCGCTCACTCACCCACTCGCTCGCTCTTCCACCCACTCGCTCACTCACCCACTCACTCGCTCTTCCACTCACTCGCTCACTCACCCACTCACTCACTCGCTCTTCCACTCACTCAATCACTCGCTCACCCACTCACTCGCTCACCCATTCACTCGCTCACCCGCTCACTCGCTCACCCACTCACCCATTAACTCGCTCTTCCACTCACTCGCTCACTCACCCACTCAGCCATTAACTCGCTCTTCCACTCACTCGCTCACTCACCCACTCACTCACTCGCTCTTCCACTCACTCACTCTTCCACTCACTCGCTCACTCACCCACTCACTCGCTCTTCCACTCACTCGCTCTTCCACTCACTCGCTCACTCACTCACTCGCTCACTCTTCCACTCACTCACTCACCCACTCGCTCACTCACCCACTCGCTCGCTCTTCCACTCACTCGCTCACTCACCCATTCACTCGCTCACTCTTCCACTCACTCGCTCACCCACTCACCCATTAACTCGCTCTTCCACTCACTCGCTCACTCACCCACTCACTCACCCACTCGCTCACTCACCCATTCACTCGCTCTTCCACTCACTCGCTCACTCACCCACTCACTCACTCGCTCTTCCACTCACTCGCTCACTCAATCACTCGCTCACCCACTCACTCGCTCACCCATTCACTCGCTCACCCACTCACCCATTAACTCGCTCTTCCACTCACTCGCTCACTCACCCACCCACTCGCTCGCTCTTTCACTCACTCGTTCACTCACCCACTCACCCATTAACTCACTCACCCACTCACTCACTCGCTCTTCCACTCACTCGCTCACTCACCCACTCACCCACTCCCTTTTCCACTCACTCACCCACCCACTCACTCTTCCACTCGCTCGCTCACTCACCCACTCACTCGCTCACTCTTCCACTCGCTCGCTCACTCACCCACTCACTCGCTCTTCCACTCACTCGCTCACTCACCCACTCACTCGCTCACTCACCCACTCACTCACTCTCTCTTCCACTCACTCGCTCGCTCACCCACTCAATCACTCGCTCTTCCACTCGCTCACTCACCCACTCGCTCACTCATCCACTCACTCACTCCCTCTTCCACTCACTCACCCACTTGCTCACTCACCCACTCACTCACTCGCTCTTCCACTCACTCACTCGCTCACTCACCCACCCACTCGCTCGCTCTTCCACTCACTCGCTAACCCTCCCCCCCGTGTCTCCCCACAGATTCGATGGAGGTAAAGCCGATAATGACTCGCAAACTCCGCCGGAGACCAAACGATCCGGTCCCACTGCCGGACAAACGGCGAAAGCCTCCTCCCTATATCCTTGAACACTACCACAACCACTATCACAACAACTACCACAACCACTACCACAACTACTACCACAACTACTACCACAACTACTACCACAACAACTACTACCACAACCACTATCACAACAACTACCACAACTACTACCACAACTACTACCACAACCACTACCACAACAACTACCACAACTACTACCACAACTACTACAACAACTACTACTACCACAACTATCACTACAACTACCACTATAACTACTACCACTACAACTACTACCACAACAACTACTACCACTACAACTACCACAACTATCACTACAACTACTACCACTACAACTACCACAACTACTACCACAACTACTACCACAACTACTACCACAACTACTACAACTACCACAACTATCACTACAACTAACTACAACAACTACTACCACTACAACTACTACCACAACTACTACCACAACTACTACCACAACTACTACCACAACAACTACCACAACTACTACTACTACCACAACTACTACCACAACCACTATCACAACAACTACCACAACTACTACCACAACTACTACAACAACTACTACTACCACAACTATCACTACAACTACCACTATAACTACTACCACTACAACTACTACCACAACAACTACTACCACTACAACTACCACAACTATCACTACAACTACTACCACTACAACTACCACAACTACTACCACAACTACTACCACAACTACTACAACTACCACAACTATCACTACAACTACCACAACTATCACTACAACTAACTACAACAACTACTACCACTACAACTACTACCACAACTACTACCACAACTACTACCACAACTACTACCACAACAACTACCACAACTACTACTACTACCACAACTACTACCACAACCACTATCACAACAACTACCACAACTACTACCACAACTACTACAACAACTACTACTACCACAACTATCACTACAACTACCACTATAACTACTACCACTACAACTACTACCACAACAACTACTACCACTACAACTACCACAACTATCACTACAACTACTACCACTACAACTACCACAACTACTACCACAACTACTACCACAACTACTACAACTACCACAACTATCACTACAACTACCACAACTATCACTACAACTAACTACAACAACTACTACCACTACAACTACTACCACAACTACTACCACAACTACTACCACAACTACTACCACAACTACTACCACAACTACTACCACAACTACTACCACAACTACTACCACAACTACTACCACAACTACTACCACAACTACTACCACAACTACTACAACAACTACTACTACCACAACTATCACTACAACTACCACCACAACCACTACCACAACTACTACCACAACTACTACAACTACCACAACTATCACTACAACAACTACTACCACTACAACTACTACCACAACTACTACAACTACCACAACTATCACTACAACTACCACTATAACTACTACCACTACAACTACTACCACAACTACAACTACCACAACTACTACCACAACTACTACCACAACTACTACAACTACTACCACAACTACTACCACAACAACTACCACAACTACCACAACTACTACCACAACTACCACCACCACTACTACCACAACAACTACTACAACAACTACTACTACAACTATCACTACAACTACTACCACTACAACTACCACAACCACTATCACAACAACTACCACAACTACTACCACAACTACTACCACAACTACTACCACAACAACTACCACAACTACTACTACTACCACAACTACTACCACAACTACTACCACAACTACTACCACAACTACTACCACAACAACTACCACAACTACTACCACAACAACTACCACAACTACTACCACAACTACTACCACAACAACTACCACAACTACTACTACTACCACAACTACTACTACTACCACAACTACTACCACAACTACTACAACTACCACAACTATCACTACAACTACCACTATAACTACTACCACTACAACTACTACCACAACAACTACCACAACTACTACCACAACAACTACCACAACTACTACTACTACCACAACTACTACCACAACTACTACCACAACTACTACCACAACTACTACCACAACAACTACCACAACTCCTACAACTACCACAACTATCACTACAACTAATTACAACAACTACTACCACTACAACTACTACCACAACCACTACCACAACTACTACCACAACTACTACAACTACCACAACTATCACTACAACTAACTACAACAACTACTACCACTACAACTACTACCACAACCACTACCACAACTACTACCACAACTACTACCACAACTACTACCACAACTATCACTACAACTACTACCACTACAACTACCACAACTACTACCACAACTACTACCACAACTACTACAACTACCACAACTATCACTACAACTACCACTATAACTACTACCACTACAACTACTACCACAACCACTATCACAACAACTACCACAACAACTACCACAACTACTACCACAACTACTACCACAACTACTACCACAACCACTACCACAACTACTACCACAACTACTACAACTACCACAACTATCACTACAACTAACTACAACAACTACTACTACTACCACAACTATCACTACAACTATCACTATAACTACTACCACTACAACTACTACCACAACTACAACTACCACAACTACTACCACAACTACTACAACAACTACTACCACAACAACTACCACAACTACTACTACTACCACAACTATCACTACAACTATCACTATAACTACTACCACTACAACTACTACCACAACTACAACTACCACAACTACTACTACAACTACCACAACTACTACCACAACAACTACTACTACCACAACTATCACTACAACTAGCACTACCACTACAACAACTAGCACAACTACTACCACAACAACTACAACTACCACAACTAGCACTACAACTACTACCACAACAACTACTACCACAATTACTACCACAACAACTACTACTACCACAACTATCACTACAACCATCACTACAACTACCACTATAACTACTACTTCAACTACCACAACAACTACTACTACCACAACTATCACTACAACTAACTACAACAACTACCACAACAACTACTACTACCACAACTATCACTACAACTATCACTACAACTACCACTATAACTACTACCACTACAATTACTACCACAACAACTACTACTACCACAACTATCACTTCAACTACTACTACAACTACCACAACAACTACTACCACTACAACTACCACAACTACCCTAGAACTACTTCAACTACTACCACAACTATCACTACAACTATCACTACAACTACAACCACTACAACTACTACCACAACAACTACAACTACCACAACTATCACTACAACTACTACCACAACAACTACTACCACAATTACTACCACAACAACTACTACTACCACAACTATCACTACAACCATCACTACAACTACCACTATAACTACTACTTCAACTACCACAACAACTACTACTACCACAACTATCACTACAACTAACTACAACAACTACCACAACAACTACTACTACCACAACTATCACTACAACTATCACTACAACTACCACTATAACTACTACCACTACAATTACTACCACAACAACTACTACTACCACAACTATCACTTCAACTACTACTACAACTACCACAACAACTACTACCACTACAACTACCACAACTACCCTAGAACTACTTCAACTACTACCACAACTACCACTACTACTACCACTACAACTACCACTACGACTAAAACTACCACAACTACCACTATCACTACAACTACTACGACAACTACAAAGACCATAACTACCACTGTGTTATGGTGGTGTGTATGTACTGTGTGTGTGTACTGTGTGTATACTGTGTGTGTGTGTGTACTGTGTGTGTGTACCGTGTGTGTACCGTGTGTGTACTGTGTGTGTGTACCGTGTGTGTGTAGTGTGTATACTGTGTGTGTGTGTGTGTACTCTGTGTACTGTGTGTGTGTACTCTGTGTGTGTACTTTGTGTGTGTACTCTGTGTACTGTGTGTGTGTACCGTGTGTGTGTACTGTGTGTGTGTACCGTGGTGTGTGTGTACTGTGTGTGTACTGTGTGTGTGTACCGTGGTGTGTGTGTACTGTGTGTGTACTGTGTGTACTGTGTGTACCGTGGTGTGTGTGTGTACTGTGTGTGTACTCTGTGTGTGTACTCTGTGTGTGCACTGTGTGTGTGTGTACCGTGGTGTGTGTGTACTGTGTGTGTGTACTGTGTGTGTGTACTCTGTGTACTGTGTGTGTGTACCGTGTGTGTACCGTGTGTGTGTACCGTGTGTGTGTACTGTGGTGAGTGTACTGGGTGAGTGTACTGTGTGTGTGTACCGTGGTGTGTGTACTGTGGTGTGTGTACTGTGTGTGTGTGTACCGTGGTGTGTGTGTGTGTACCGTGGTGTGTGTGTGTGTACTGTGTGTGTACTGTGTGTGTGTACTGTGTGTGTACTGTGTGTACCGTGGTGTGTGTGTACTGTGTGTGTGTGTACTGTGTGTGTGTGTGTACTGTGTGTGTGTGTGTACTGTGTGTGTACTGTGTGTGTGTGTACCGTGTGTGTGTACTGTGTGTGTGTACCGTGGTGTGTGTGTACTGTGTGTGTACTGTGTGTGTGTACCGTGGTGTGTGTGTACTGTGTGTGTACTGTGTGTACCGTGGTGTGTGTGTACTGTGTGTACTGTGTGTGTACTCTGTGTGTGTACTCTGTGTGTGCACTGTGTGTGTGTGTACTGTGTGTGTACTGTGTGTGTACTGTGTGTGTACTGTGGTGAGTACTGTGTGTGTGTACTGTGTGTGTACTGTGTACTGTGTGTGTACCGTGTGTGTGTACTGTGTGTGTACTGTGGTGAGTGTACTGTGTGTGTGTACTGTGGTGTGTGTACTGTGTGTGTGTACCGTGGTGTGTGTGTGTGTGTACCGTGGTGTGTGTGTGTGTACTGTGTGTGTACTGTGTGTGTGTACTGTGTGTGTGTACTGTGTGTGTGTACTGTGTGTGTGTGTACTGTGTGTGTGTACTGTGTGTGTGTGTGTACTGTGTGTGTGTGTACTGGGTGTGTGTACTGGGTGTGTGTGTACCGTGTGTGTGTACCGTGTGTGTGTACCGTGTGTGTGTACTGTGGTGAGTGTACTGTGTGTGTGTACCGTGGTGTGTGTACTGTGTGTGTGTGTGTACTGTGTGTGTGTGTGTGTACCGTGGTGTGTGTGTGTACCGTGGTGTGTGTGTACTGTGTGTACTGTGTGTGTGTACTGTGTGTGTACTGTGTGTGTGTACTGTGTGTGTACTGTGTGTGTGTACTGTGTGTACCGTGGTGTGTGTGTACTGTGTGTGTGTGTACTGTGTGTGTGTGTACTGTGTGTGTGTGTGTGTACTGTGTGTGTGTGTACCGTGGTGTGTGTGTACTGTGTGTGTGTGTACTGTGTGTGTGTGTGTACTGTGTGTGTACTGTGTGTGTGTGTACTGTGTGTGTGTGTACCGTGGTGTGTGTGTACTGTGTGTGTGTACTGTGTGTGTGTGTGTACTGTGTGTGTACTGTGTGTGTGTGTACCGTGGTGTGTGTACTGTGTGTGTACTGTGTGTGTGTGTACCGTGGTGTGTGTGTGTGTACTGTGTGTGTGTACTGTGTGTGTACTCTGTGTGTACTGTGTGTACTGTGTACCGTGGTGTGTGTGTGTACTGTGTGTGTGTACTGTGTGTGTACCGTGGTGTGTGTGTACTGTGTGTGTGTACTGTGTGTGTGTGTACTGTGTGTGTACCGTGTGTGTACCGTGGTGTGTGTGTACTGTGTGTGTGTGTACTGTGTGTGTGTGTACCGTGGTGTGTGTGTGTACTGTGTGTGTACTGTGTGTGTGTACTGTGTGTGTACTGTGTGTGTACTGTGTGTGGTGTGTGTGTACTGTGTGTGTGTGTGTGTACTGTGTGTGTGTGTGTACTGTGTGTGTGTGTACTGTGTGTGTACTGTGTGTGTACCGTGGTGTGTGTGTACTGTGTGTGTGTGTGTGTACTGTGTGTGTGTGTACCGTGGTGTGTGTGTACTGTGTGTGTGTGTGTGTACTGTGTGTGTGTGTACCGTGGTGTGTGTGTACTGTGTGTGTGTGTACTGTGCGTGTACTGTGTGTGTGTACCGTGGTGTGTGTGTACTGTGTGTGTGTGTACTGTGTGTGTACTGTGTGTGTGTACCGTGGTGTGTGTGTGTACTGTGTGTGTGTGTACTGTGTGTGTGTGTACTGTGTGTGTACTCTGTGTGTGCTGTGTGTGTGTACTCTGTGTGTACTCTGTGTGTACTGTGTGTACTGTGTACCATGGTGTGTGTGTGTACTGTGTGTGTACCGTGGTGTGTGTGTACTGTGTGTGTGTACTGTGTGTGTACCGTGGTGTGTGTGTGTACTGTGTGTGTGTGTACTGTGTGTGTGTGTACTGTGTGTGTGCACCGTGTGTGTGTACTGTGTGTACTGTGTGTGTGTACTCTGTGTGTACTGTGTGTGTACTGTGTGTGTGTGTACTGTGTGTGTACCGTGGTGTGTGTGTGTACTGTGTGTGTGTACCGTGGTGTGTGTGTGTACTGTGTGTACTGTGTGTGTGTGTACTGTGTGTGTGTACTGTGTGTACTGTGTGTGTGTGTACTGTGTGTGTGTACTGTGTACCGTGGTGTGTGTGTGTGTGTACCGTGGTGTGTGTGTGTACTGTGTGTGTGTGTGTACAGTGTGTGTACTGTGTGTGTACCGTGGTGTGTGTGTGTACTGTGTGTGTGTACTGTGTACCGTGGTGTGTGTGTGTGTGTACCGTGGCGTGTGTGTGTACTGTGTGTGTACCGTGGCATGTGTGTACTGTGTGTGTGTGTACTGTGTGTGTACTGTGTACTGTGTGTGTACTGTGTACTGTGTGTGTGCCGTGGTATGTGTGTGTACTGTGTGTGTACTGTGTGTGTGCCGTGGTATGTGTGTGTACTGTGTGTGTACTGTGTGTGTACCGTGGTGTGTGTGTGTACTGTGTATGTGTACTGTGTGTGTGTACTGTGTGTGTGTACTGTGTGTGTGTACTGTGTATGTGTACTGTGTGTGTGTACTCTGTGTGTGTACTGTGTGTGTACTGTGTGTGTGTATACTGTGTGTGTACTGTGTGTGTACTGTGTGTGTGTGTACTGTGTGTACTGTGTACCGTGGTGTGTGTGTGTGGTTATCCCCGTAAGAACCCCTCTGGCAAAGTCTCTCCTTGACTGTGGACCTCACCGCAGTTGAATTATCTACTGCTGGATGAGCAGATACAGGACGACCTGAGGGTTCTCAACAAAGTGAGACACTCGCTCATTCACTCAATCATTCACTCGCTCATTCACTCACACACTCATTCACGCACTCATTCACTCACACACTCATTCACTCATCCACTCACATACTCATTCACTCGCTCAATCACTCACTCGTTCACTCACTCATTCACTCACACACTCATTCACTCACTCATCCACTCACTCATCCACTCACATACTCATTCACTCGCTCATTCACTCACATACTCATACATTCACTCGCTCATCCACTCACATGCTCATTCACTCGCTAAATCACTCACTCGTTCACTCATTCATTCACTCACTCATTCACTCACACACTCATCCATTCACTCACTCATCCACTCACTCATTAACTCACTCGTTCACTCACTCATTCACTCACACACTCATACATTCACTCACTCATCCACTCACTCATCCACTCACATACTCATTCACTCGCTCAATCACTCACTCGCTCACTCACTCGTTCACTCACTCATTCACGCACTCACTCATTCACTCACACGCTCATTCATTCACTCACTCATTCACTCACATACTCATTCACTCGCTCATTCACTCACTCGTTCACTCATTCATTCACTCACACACTCATACATTCACTCACTCATCCACTCACATACTCATTCACTCGCTCATTCACTCGCTCATCCAATCACTCGTTCACTCATTCACTCACTCATTCACTCATTCACTCACTCATTCACTCACACACTCATACATTCACTCATCCACTCACATACTCACTCGCTCATTCACTCACTCATCCACTCACTCGTTCACTCACTCATCCACTCACTCGTTCACTCACTCATACACTTACTCATTCACTCACTCATTCACTCACATACTCATTCACTCACTCATCCACTCACTCGTTCACTCACTCATACACTCACTCATACACTCACTCATACACTTACTCATACATTGACTCATACACTCGTTCACTCACACACTCACTCATACATTCACTCACTCATCCACTCACACACTCATACATTCACTCACTCTTCCACTCACACACTCATACACTCACATACTCACTCATTCACTCACTCATTCAATTACTAACTCACTTATACACTTTCACTCATTCACTCACTCATACACTCACTCATCCACTCGCTCACCCACTCACATACTCACACACTCACACACTCACTCATTCACTCACTCATTCAATTACTCACTAACTCACTTATACACTTTCACTCACTCATTCATTCACTCATACATCCGCTCACTCATTCACTCACTCATTCACTCACTCGCACATTCATTCACTCCGATGCTGAGTGCAACACAGACACACACAGGCAGCCAGACAGACACACAAAGCCACACACAAAGATCCCCCATGTAGCCTGTAACAGACTGTAGGGGCAAGTGCTGTTAGCGAGCAGCACCTACGAAGGCCGGAACGGCACACGAGGGGGTGGGTGGCCAGCACCACGCCCGACCGCCTTTGTCTCCCCAGTGGCGATGTTTACACACCGCACCAGGTATCTCATTTGAGGGCTGAGTCGACCTAGGGGAGGCCCGGGACCGGTTCAGATAGTCGTCACTGATGGCGGTGTTGGCCGTTGAGCGGGAATCGAACTGGGGTTCGTAGCTGTAGTGTAGCGCTACACCGCTACACTACAGCTCCACACACACACACACAGAGACACACACACACACAGAGACACACACACACAGAGACACACACACACACAGAGACACACACACAGACACACACACAGACACACACACACACAGAGACACACACACACACAGAGACCCACACACACACAGGCAGACCAAGATCTCACTTGTAGCGTTAACTCACACAGGCGCGCGCACGCAGAGACACACACAAGCAGAGACACACACACAAGCAGAGACACACACACAAGCACAGAGACACACAGAGAGAGACACACAGAGAGACACACACACAGAGAGAGAGAGAGACACACACAAGCAGAGACATACACAGAGAGAGAGACACACACACAAGCAGAGACACACACAGAGAGAGACACACACACAAGCAGACACACAAACAGAGAGAGACACACACGCAAGCAGAGACACACAGAGAGAGACACACACACAGAGACGCACACACAGAGACGCACACACAGAGACGCACACACAGAGAGAGACACACAGAGAGAGACACACACAAGCAGAGACACACACAAGCAGAGACACAGAGAGAGAGACACAGAGAGAGAGACACACACACAGAGACACAGAGAGAGGGAGACACACACAGAGACACACACACAGAGAGAGAGACACACACAAGCAGACACACACACAGAGAGAGAGACACACACAAGCAGACACACACACAGAGAGAGACACACAGAGAGAGAGACACACAGAGAGAGACACACACAGAGAGAGACACACACACAGAGAGAGACAAACACACACAGAGAGAGACACAGAGAGAGACACACAGAGAGAGACACACAGAGAGACACACACAAGCAGAGACACACAGAGAGAGAGACACACACAGAGAGAGAGAGACACACACACAGACACACACACAAGCAGACACAGAGAGACACACACACAAGCAGACACGCACAAGCAGAGACACACACACAAGCAGAGACACACACAGAGAGAGAGAGAGAGACACACACAAGCAAAGACACACTCAGAGAGAGACACACAGAGAGAGACACACACAGACAGAGAGAGAGACACACACAGAGACACACAGAGAGAGACACACACACACACAGAGAGAGAGACACAGAGACACACACAGAGAGAGACACACACAGAGACACACACAGAGACACACACAGAGAGAGAGACACACACACACAGACACACAGAGAGAGAGACACACACACAGAGAGAGAGACACACACAGAGACACACACAGAGACACACACAGAGAGAGACACACAGAGAGAGAGAGAGACACACACAGAGAGAGACACACACAGAGAGAGAGAGACACACACAGAGAGAGAGGCACACACAGAAAGAGAGACACAGAGAGAGAGAGAGAGACACAGAGAGAGAGAGACACACACACAGAGAGAGACACACAGAGAGAGACACACAGAGAGACACACACACACAGACACGCAGAGAGAGAGACACACACACAGAGAGAGAGACACACACAGAGAGACACACAGAGACACACACAGAGACACACACACACAGACACACAGAGAGAGAGACACACACACAGAGAGACACACACAGAGAGAGACACACACAGAGACACACACACAGAGAGAGACAGGCAGAGCGGGTGTTGTGGGCGCGGTTTCGCGTAGTGGCTGTGGTCAGTGATGGCTGCTGTTGTCTTCGTTGTGTTTGCAGGGAAAGCCGTTCAAGAGAGCAGGTACCGTGCTACATAACCACACCCCTCTGTGTGTAATGGTTCAGTCCAGTGTCACCCCCACTGTGTGGAATGGTTCAGTCCTGTGTTACATACCCACACCCCTCTGTGTGGAATGGTTCAGTCCCGTGTCACCCCCCTCTGTCTGTGTGTAATGGTTCAGTCCCGTGTTACATAACCCTCTGTGTGGAATGGTTCAGTCCCGTGTTACATACCCACACCCCTCTGTGTGGAATGGTTCAGTCCTGTGTCACACCCACTGTGTGGAATGGTTCAGTCCCTTGTTACATACCCACACCCCTGTGTGTGGAATGGTTCAGTCCCGTGTCACACCCCTCTGTGTGGAATGGTTCAGTACCGTGTCACCCACACCCCTCTGGAATGGTTCAGTCCTGTGTCACACCCCTCTCTGTGTAATGGTTCAGTCCCGTGTCACACCCTCTGTGTGTAATGGTTCAGTCCCGTGTCACCCCCTCTGCCTGTGTGTAATGGTTCAGTCCTGTGTCACCCCCACTGTGTGTAATGGTTCAGTCCCGTGCCACCCCCACTGTGTGTAATGGTTCAGTCCCGTGTCACCCCCTCTGTCTGAAATGGTTCAGTTCCGTGTCACCCCCACTGTGTGTAATGGTTAAGTCCTGTGTCACCCCCACTGTGTGTAATGGTTCAGTCCTGTGTCACCCCCCCTCTGTGTGTAATGGTTCAGTCCTGTGTCACCCCCCTTTGTGTGTAATGGTTCAGTCCCGTGTCACCCCCCTTTGTGTGTAATGGTTCAGTCCTGTGTCACCCCCCTCTGTGTGTAATGGTTCAGTCCCGTCTCACCCCCACTGTGTGTAATGGTTCAGTCCCGTGTCACCCCCCACTGTGTAATGGTTCAGTCCTGTGTCACCCCCATCTGTGTGTAATGGTTCAGTCCCGTGTCACCCCCCACTGTGTAATGGTTCAGTCCCGTGTCACCCCCCTCTGTGTGTAATGGTTCAGTCCCGTGTCACCCCCACTGTGTGTAATGGTTCAGTCCCGTGTCACCCCCCTCTGTGTAATGGTTCAGTCCTGTGTCACCCCCCACTGTGTGTAATGGTTCAGTCCCGTGTCACCCCCCACTGTGTAATGGTTCAGTCCTGTGTCACCCCTACTGTGTGTAATGGTTCAGTCCTGTGTCACCCCTACTGTGTGTAATGGTTCAGTCCCGTGTCACCCCCCACTGTGTGTAATGGTTCAGTCCCGTGTCACCCCCCCTCTGTGTAATGGTTCAGTCCTGTGTCACCCCCCACTGTGTGTAATGGTTCAGTCCTGTGTCACCCCTCTCTGTGTAATGGTTCAGTCCTGTGTCACCCCCCACTGTGTGTAATGGTTCAGTCCCGTGTCACCCCCCCCCTCTGTGTAATGGTTCAGTCCTGTGTCACCCCCCACTGTGTAATGGTTCAGTCCCGTGTCACCCCCCTGTGTAATGGTTCAGTCCTGTGTCACCCCCTCTGTGTGTAATGGTTCAGTCCCGTGTCACACCCCTCTCTGCCTGTGTGTAATGGTTTAGTCCCGTGTCACACCCCACTGTGTGTAATGGTTCAGTCCTGTGTCACCCCCACTGTGTGTAATGGTTCAGTCCTGTGTCACCCCCACTGTCTGTAATGGTTCAGTCCCGTGTCACCCCCCACTGTGTGTAATGGTTCAGTCCCGTGTCACCCCCTCTGTGTGTAATGGTTCAGTCCTGTGTCACCCCCTCTCTGTAATGGTTCAGTCCCGTGTCACCCCCTCTGTGTGTAATGGTTCAGTCCTGTGTCACCCCCACTGTGTGTAATGGTTCAGTCCTGTGTCACCCCCTCTCTGTAATGGTTCAGTCCTGTGTCACCACCACTGTGTGTAATGGTTCAGTCCTGTGTCACCCCTCTGCCTGTGTGTAATGGTTCAGTCCTGTGTCACCCCTCTGCCTGTGTGTAATGGTTCAGTCCCGTGTCACCCCCCACTGTGTGTAATGGTTCAGTCCCGTGTCACCCCCCACTGTCTGTAATGGTTCAGTCCCATGTCACCCCCCTCTGTGTGTAATGGTTCAGTCCCATGTCACCCCCTCTCTGCCTGTGTGTAATGGTTCAGTCCCGTGTCACACCCCCCTCTGTGTGTAATGGTTCAGTCCTGTGTCACCCCCCTCTGTGTGGAATGGTTCAGTCCCGTGTCACCCCCCTCTGTGTGGAATGGTTCAGTCCCGTGCCACCCCCACTGTGTGTAATGGTTCAGTCCCGTGTCACCCCCTCTGTGTATAATGGTTCATTCCGTGTCACCCCCACTGTGTGTAATGGTTCAGTCCCGTGTCACCCCCCACTGTCTGTAATGGTTCAGTCCCATGTCACCCCCCTCTGTGTGTAATGGTTCAGTCCCATGTCACCCCCTCTCTGCCTGTGTGTAATGGTTCAGTCCCGTGTCACACCCCCCTCTGTGTGTAATGGTTCAGTCCTGTGTCACCCCCTCTGTCTGTAATGGTTCAGTCCCGTGTCACCCCCTCTGTGTATAATGGTTCATTCCGTGTCACCCCCACTGTGTGTAATGGGTCAGTCCTGTGTCACCCCCACTGTGTGTAATGGTTCAGTCCCGTGTCACCCCCCCTCTGAGTGTAATGGTTCAGTCTGCTTGCTCCCATAATTTACCCAGAATCACCGAGTCAGCGGTTCGAAGCCCGCATCGATGATGGGAAGCTCTGCTACGATCGGAGATGGTGAGCTACTCACCCAGCTACTCACCCAGCTACTCACCCAGCTATTCACCCAGCTACTCACCCAGCTACTCACCCAGTTACTCACACAGCTACTCACCCAGCTACTCACCCAGCTACTCACTCACTCAGCTACTCACTCACCCAGCTACTCACTCAGCTACTCACTCACTCAGCTACTCACCCAGCTACTCACTCAGCTACTCACCCAGCTACTCACCCAGCTACTCACCCAGCTGCTCACTCACTCAGCTACTCGCTCACCCAGCTACTCACTCACCCAGCTACTCACTCACCCAGCTACTCACTCAGCTACTCACTCACCCAGCTACTCACCCAGCTACTCACTCACCCAGCTACTCATCCAGCTACTCACCCAGCTACTCACCCAGCTACTCACTCACTCAGCTACTCACCCAGCTACTCACTCATCTACTCACCAAGCTACTCACCCAGCTACTCACCCAGCTACTCACCCAGCTACTCACTCAGCTACTCACCCAGCTACTCACCCAGCTACTCACTCAGCTACTCACCCAGCTACTCACTCAGCCACTCATCCAGCTACTCACCCAGCTACTCCCCCAGCTACTCACCCAGCTACTCATGCACTCAGCTACTCACCCGGCTACTCACCCGGCTACTCACCCAGCTACTCACCCAGCTACTCACTCACTCAGCTACTCACTCACCCAGCTACTCACCCAGCTACTCACCCAGCAACTCACCCAGCTACTCACCCAGCTACTCACTCAGCCACTCACCCAGCTACTCACCCAGCCACTCATCCAGCTACTCACCCAGCTACTCACCCAGCTACTCACTCAGCCACTCACCCAGCTACTCACCCAGCTACTCACCCAGCTACTCACTCACTCAGCTACTCACTCACCCAGCTACTCACCCAGCTACTCACCCAGCTACTCACTCAGCCACTCACACAGCTACTCACCCAGCTACTCACTCACTCAGCTACTCACTCACTCAGCTACTCACCCAGCCACTCACCCAGCTACTCACCCAGCCACTCACCCAGCTACTCACCCAGCTACTCACCCAGCTACTCACTCAGCCATTCACCCAGCTACTCACCCAGCTACTCACCCAGCTACTCACCCAGCTACTCACTCAGCCACTCACCCAGCTACTCACCCAGCTACTCACCCAGCTACTTACCCAGCTACTCACTCACTCAGCTACTCACCCAGCTACTCACCCAGCTACTCACTCACCCAGCTACTCACCCAGCTACTCACCCAGCTACTCGCTCACTCAGCTACTCACTCACTCATCTACTCACTCAGCTACTCACTCAGCTACTCACCCAGCTACTCACCCAGCTACTCACTCAGCTACTCACCCAGCTACTCACTCAGCTACTCAGTCAGCTACTCACTCACCCAGTTACTCACTCAGCTACTCACTCACTCAGCTACTCACTCAGCTACTCACCCAGCTACTCACTCAGCTACTCACTCAGCTACTCACCCAGCTACTCACTCAGCTACTCACTCAGCTACTCACCCAGCTACTCACTCAGCTACTCACCCAGCTACTCACCCAGCTACTCACCCAGCTACTCACCCACTCAGCTACTCACCCAGCTACCCACTCAGCTACTCACCCAGCTACTCACCCAGCTACTCACTCACCCAGCTACTCACTCACCCAGCTACTCACCCAGCTACTCACCCAGCTACTCACTCAGCTACTCAGCTACTCACCCAGATACTCACCCAGCTACTCACCCAGCTACTCACCCAGCTACTCACTCACCCAGCTACTCACCCAGCTACTCACTCAGCTACTCACTCAGCTACTCACTCACTCAGCTACTCACCCAGCTACTCACTCAGCTACTCACTCAGCTACTCACTCAGCTACTCACCCAGCTACTCACTCAGCTACTCACTCAGCTACTCACTCAGCTACTCACCCAGCTGCTCACCCAGCTACTCACCCAGCTACTCACTCACTCAGCTACTCACTCACTCAGCTACTCACTCACTCAGCTACTCACCCAGCTACTCAGCTACTCACCCAGCTACTCACTCAGCTACTCACTCAGCTACTCACTCAGCTACTCACCCAGCTACTCACTCACTGAGCTACTCACCCAGCTACTCACTCACTCAGCTACTCACTCAGCTACTCACCCAGCTACTAACTCAGCTACTCACCCAGCTACTCACTCGGCTACTCACCCAGCTACTCAGCCAGCTACTCACCCAGCTACTCACCCAGCTACTCACCCAGCTACTCACACAGCTACTCACTCAGCTACTCACCCAGCTACTTACCCAGCTACTCACTCACTCAGCTACTCACTCAGCTACTCACTCACCCAGCTACTCACCCAGCTACTCACCCAGCTACTCACCCAGCTACTCACTCAGCTACTCACTCACTCAGCTACTCACTCAGCTACTCACTCAGCTACTCACCCAGCTACTCACCCAGCTACTCACTCAGCTACTCACTCAGCTACTCACCCAGCTACTCACCCAGCTACTCACCCTGCTACTCACCCAGCTACTCACTCAGCTACTCACTCAGCTACTCACCCATCTACTCACCCAGCTACTCACCCAGCTACTCACTCAGCTACTCACTCACTCAGCTACTCACCCAGCTACTCACCCAGCTACTCACCCAGCTACTCACCCAGCTACTCACTCACCCAGCTACTCACCCAGCTACTCACTCAGCTACTCACCCAGCTACTCACTCAGCTACTCAGCTACTCACTCACTCAGCTACTCACTCAGCTACTCACCCAGCTACTCACCCAGCTACTCACTCACCCAGCTACTCACTCACCCAGCTACTCACTCACTCAGCTACTCACTCACTCAGCTACTCACTCACTCAGCTACTCACTCACTCGGCTACTCACCCAGCTACTCACCCAGCTACTCACTCAGCTACTTACTCACTCAGCTACTCACCCAGCTACTCACCCAGCTACTCACCCAGCTACTCACTCAGCTACTCACCCAGCTACTAACTCAGCTACTCACCCAGCTACTCACACAGCTACTCACTCAGCTACTCACCCAGCTACTTACCCAGCTACTCACTCACTCAGCTACTCACTCACTCAGCTACTCACTCAGCTACTCACTCACTCAGCTACTCACTCACTCAGCTACTCACCCAGCTACTCACCCAGCTACTCACTCAGCTACTCACCCAGCTACTCACCCAGCTACTCACCCAGCTACTCACTCAGCTACTCACTCAGCTACTCACCCAGCTACTCACTTACCCAGCTACTCACTCAGCTACTCACTCACCCAGCTACTCACTCCAGCTACTCAGCTACTCACTCACTCAGCTACTCACTCAGCTACTCACTCAGCTACTCACTCACCCAGCTACTCACTCACCCAGCTACTCACTCAGCTACTCACTCAGCTACTCATTCAGCTACTCACTCAGCTACTCACTCACTCAGCTACTCACCCAGCTACTCACCCAGCTACTCACCCAGCTACTCACCCAGCTACTCACTCAGCTACTCACCCAGCTACTCACCCAGCTACTCACTCAGCTGCTCACTCACCCAGCTACTCACTCAGCTACTCACTCACTCAGCTACTCACCCAGCTACTCACCCCGCTACTCACCCAGCTACTCACTCAGCTACTCACTCAGCTACTCACCCATCTACTCACCCAGCTACTCACCCAGCTACTCACTCAGCTACTCACTCACTCAGCTACTCACCCAGCTACTCACCCAGCTACTCACCCAGCTACTCACTCACCCAGCTACTCACCCAGCTACTCACTCAGCTACTCACCCAGCTACTCACTCAGCTACTCAGCTACTCACTCACTCAGCTACTCACTCAGCTACTCACCCAGCTACTCACCCAGCTACTCACTCACCCAGCTACTCACTCACCCAGCTACTCACTCACTCAGCTACTCACTCACTCAGCTACTCACTCACTCGGCTACTCACTCACTCGGCTACTCACCCAGCTACTCACCCAGCTACTCACCCAGCTACTCACTCAGCTACTCACTCACTCAGCTACTCACCCAGCTACTCACCCAGCTACTCACCCAGCTACTCACCCAGCTACTCACTCAGCTACTCACCCAGCTACTAACTCAGCTACTCACCCAGCTACTCACACAGCTACTCACTCAGCTACTCACCCAGCTACTTACCCAGCTACTCACTCACTCAGCTACTCACTCACTCAGCTACTCACTCAGCTACTCACTCACTCAGCTACTCACCCAGCTACTCACCCAGCTACTCACTCAGCTACTCACCCAGCTACTCACCCAGCTACTCACCCAGCTACTCACTCAGCTACTCACTCAGCTACTCACCCAGCTACTCACTTACCCAGCTACTCACCCAGCTACTCACTCACCCAGCTACTCACTCCAGCTACTCAGCTACTCACTCACTCAGCTACTCACTCAGCTACTCACTCAGCTACTCACTCACCCAGCTACTCACTCACCCAGCTACTCACTCAGCTACTCACTCAGCTACTCATTCAGCTACTCACTCAGCTACTCACTCACTCAGCTACTCACCCAGCTACTCACCCAGCTACTCACCCAGCTACTCACCCAGCTACTCACTCAGCTACTCACCCAGCTACTCACCCAGCTACTCACTCAGCTGCTCACTCACCCAGCTACTCACTCAGCTACTCACTCACTCAGCTACTCACTCAGCTACTCACTCACCCAGCTACTCACTCAGCTACTCACTCACTCAGCTACTCACTCAGCTACTCACCCAGCTACTCACTCAGCTACTCACTCCGCTACTCACTCAGCTACTCACTCACCCAGCTACTCACTCAGCTACTCACTCAGCTACTCACTCACTCAGCTACTCACTCAGCTACTCACTCAGCTACTCACTCACTCAGCTACTCACTCAGCTACTCGCTCACCCAGCTACTCACTCAGCTACTCACTCACCCAGCTACTCACTCAGCTACTCACTCAGCTACTCACTCAGCTACTCACTCAGCTACTCACTCAGCTACTCACTCAGCTACTAACTCAGCTACTCACCCAGCTACTCACACAGCTACTCACTCAGCTACTCACCAAGTTACTTACCCAGCTACTCACTCACTCAGCTACTCACTCACTCAGCTACTCACTCACTCAGCTACTCACTCACTCAGCTACTCACCCAGCTACTCACCCAGCTACTCACCCAGCTACTCACTCAGCTACTCACCCAGCTACTCACCCAGCTACTCACCCAGCTACTCACTCAGCTACTCACTCAGCTACTCACCCAGCTACTCTCCCAGCTACTCACTTACCCAGCTACTCACTCAGCTACTCACTCACCCAGCTACTCACTCAGCTACTCAGCTACTCACTCACTCAGCTACTCACTCAGCTACTCACTCAGCTACTCACTCAGCTACTCACTCAGCTACTCACCCAGCTACTCACCCAGCTACTCACCCAGCTACTCACTCAGCTACTCACCCAGCTACTCACCCAGCTACTCACTCAGCTGCTCACTCACCCAGCTACTCACTCAGCTACTCACTCACTCAGCTACTCACTCAGCTACTCACTCACCCAGCTACTCACTCAGCTACTCACTCACTCAGCTACTCACTCAGCTACTCACTCACCCAGCTACTCACTCAGCTACTCACTCCGCTACTCACTCAGCTACTCACTCACCCAGCTACTCACTCAGCTACTCACTCACTCAGCTACTCACTCATTCAGCTACTCACCCAGCTACTCACCCAGCTACTCACCCAGCTACTCACCCAGCTACTCACTCAGCTACTCACTCACTCAGCTACTCACCCAGCTACTCACCCAGCTACTCACTTACCCAGCTACTCACTCAGCTACTCACTCACCCAGCTACTCACTCAGCTACTCAGCTACTCACTCAGCTACTCACTCAGCTACTCACTCAGCTACTCACTCACTCAGCTACTCACTCAGCTACTCACTCAGCTACTCACTCAGCTACTCACTCAGCTACTCACTCACTCAGCTACTCACCCAGCTACTCACCCAGCTACTCACCCAGCTACTCACTCAGCTACTCACCCAGCTACTCACCCAGCTACTCACTCAGCTGCTCACTCACCCAGCTACTCACTCAGCTACTCACTCACTCAGCTACTCACTCAGCTACTCACTCACCCAGCTACTCACTCAGCTACTCACTCACCCAGCTACTCACTCAGCTACTCACTCAGCTACTCACTCACTCAGCTACTCACTCAGCTACTCACTCACTCAGCTACTCACTCACTCAGCTACTCACTCAGCTACTCACTCACCCAGCTACTCACTCAGCTACTCACTCACCCAGCTACTCACTCAGCTACTCACTCACTCAGCTACTCACTCAGCTACTCACTCACCCAGCTACTCACTCAGCTACTCACTCCGCTACTCACTCACCCAGCTACTCACTCAGCTACTCACTCAGCTACTCACTCACTCAGCTACTCACTCAGCTACTCACTCACTCAGCTACTCACTCACTCAGCTACTCACTCAGCTACTCACTCACCCAGCTACTCACTCAGCTACTCACTCACCCAGCTACTCACTCAGCTACTCACTCACTCAGCTACTCATTCACCCAGCTACTCATTCACCCAGCTACTCACTCAGCTACTCACTCACTCAGCTACTCACTCAGCTACTCACTCACCCAGCTACTCACTGAGCTACTCACTCACTCAGCTACTCACTCAGCTACTCACTCACCCAGCTACTCACTCAGCTACTCACTCCGCTACTCACTCAGCTACTCACTCACCCAGCTACTCACTCAGCTACTCACTCAGCTACTCACTCACTCAGCTACTCACTCAGCTATTCACTCACTCAGCTACTCACTCACTCAGCTACTCACTCAGCTACTCACTCACCCAGCTACTCACTCAGCTACTCACTCACCCAGCTACTCACTCAGCCACTCACTCACTCAGCTACTCACTCAGCTACTCACTCAGCTACTCACTCACTCAGCTACTCTCAGCTACTCACCCACCCAGCTACTCACTCAGCTACTCACTCACTCAGCTACTCACTCACACTCAAAAAAACGCTACCCGGTGGACCTTTGCCTCTGTCACACTTTTACACTTTACCCCTGACGGCGTTGAGGCTACCCGGGGGACCTTTGCCTCTGTCACACTTTTATACTTTGCCCTGGCGGCGTTGAGGCTACCCGGGGGATCTTTGTCTCTGTCACACTTTTACACTTTACCCCTGACGGCGTTGAGGCTACCCGGGGGACCTTTGTCTCTGTCACACTTTTACACTTTGCCCTGACGGCGTTGAGGCTACCCGGGGGACCTTTGCCTCTGTCACACTTTTACACTTTACCCTTGATGGCGTTGAGGCTACCCGGGGGACCTTTGTCTCTGTTACACTTTTACACTTTACCCTGACGGCGTTGAGGCTACCCGGGGGACCTTTGTCTCTGTTACACTTTTACACTTTACCCTTGACGTTGAGGCTACCCGGGGGACCTTTGTCTCTGTCACACTTTTACACTTTACACTGACGGCGTTGAGGCTACCCGGGGGACCTTTGTCTCTGTCACACTTTTACACTTTGCCCTTGACGACGTTGAGGCTACCCGGGGGACCTTTGCCTCTGTTACACTTTTACACTTTACACTGATGATGTTGAGGCTACCCGGGGGACCTTTGTCTCTGTTACACTTTTACACTTTGCCCTTGACGTTGAGGCTACCCGGGGGACCTTTGTCTCTGTCACACTTTTACACTTTACACTGACGGCGTTGAGGCTACCCGGGGGACCTTTGTCTCTGTCACACTTTTACACTTTGCCCTTGACGACGTTGAGGCTACCCGGGGGACCTTTGCCTCTGTTACACTTTTACACTTTACACTGATGATGTTGAGGCTACCCGGGGGACCTTTGTCTCTGTTACACTTTTACACTTTGCCCTTGACGTTGAGGCTACCCGGGGGACCTTTGTCTCTGTCACACTTTTACACTTTACACTGACGGCGTTGAGGCTACCCGGGGGACCTTTGTCTCTGTCACACTTTTACACTTTGCCCTTGACGACGTTGAGGCTACCCGGGGGACCTTTGCCTCTGTTACACTTTTACACTTTACACTGATGATGTTGAGGCTACCCGGGGGACCTTTGTCTCTGTTACACTTTACCCTTGGCGACGTTGAGGCTACACGAGGGACCTTTGTCTCTGTCACACTTTTACACTTTACCCTGACGGCGTTGAGGCTACCCGGGGGACCTTTGCCTCTGTTACACTTTGCCCTTGACGGCGTTGAGGCTACCCGGGGGACCTTTGCCTCTGTCACAGCTACCACAAGAGCCAGCCGGTCTTTCTGGAGGCTCGCGACACCAACAAAATCAGCTGCGTCATCAGCTCCATCGGCACGAATGAGGTAAGCCGCAGACGCGTGCACCTAGCCTGGCGCGAGGTGCACAACATCTACCTACGGTGGCTAGGTTAGATGTTGTCCACGTCGCTGGCCCGCAGGATCTGTGAGTCTGTGGGGTCTCTGTGTGAGTCTGTGGGGTCTCTGTGTGAGTCTGTGGGGTCTCTGTGTGAGTCTGTGGGTCTCTGTGTGAGTCTGTGGGGTCTCTGTGTGAGTCTGTGGGGTATCTGTGTGAGTGAGTCTATGGGGTCTCTGTGTGAGTCTGTGGGGTCTCTGTGTGAGTCTGTGGGTCTCTGTGTGAGTGAGTCTGTGGGTCTCTGTGTGAGTCTATGGGGTCTCTGTGTGAGTCTATGGGGTCTCTGTGAGTGAGTCTGTGGGGTCTCTGTGTGAGTCTGTGGGGTCTCTGTGTGAGTCTGTGGGGTCTCTGTGAGTGAGTCTGTGGGGTCTCTGTGTGAGTCTATGGGGTCTCTGTGAGTGAGTCTGTGGGGTCTCTGTGTGAGTCTGTGGGGTCTCTGTGTGAGTCTGTGGGGTCTCTGTGTGAGTCTGTGGGGTCTCTGTGTGAGCCTGAGGGGTCTCTGTGTGAGTCTGTGGGTCTCTGTGTGTGTCTGTGGGGTCTCTGTGTGAGTGAGTCTGTTGGGTCTCTGTGTGAGTCTGTGGGGTCTCTGTGTGAGTCTATGGGGTCTTTGTGTGAGTGAGTCTGTGGGTCTCTGTGTGAGTCTGTGGGTCTCTGTGTGAGTCTATGGGTCTCTGTGTGAGTGAGTCTGTGGGTCTCTGTGTGAGTCTGTGGGTCTCTGTGTGAGTCTGTGGGGTCTCTGTGTGAGTCTGTGGGGTCTCTGTGTGAGTCTGTGGGGTCTCTGTGTGAGTCTGTGGGGTCTCTGTGTGTGTTTGTGGGGTCTCTGTGTGAGTCTGTGGGTCTCTGTGTGAGTCTATGGGTCTCCGTGTGAGTGAGTCTATGGGTCTCTGTGTGAGTCTATGGGTCTCTTTGTGAGTGAGTCTATGGGTCTCTGTGTGAGTCTATGGGTCTCTGTGTGAGTCTATGGGTCTCTTTGTGAGTGAGTCTATGGGTCTCTGTGTGAGTCTATGGGTCTCTGTGTGAGTCTGTGGGGTCTCTGTGTGAGTCTGTGGGTCTCTGTGTGTGTTTATTGGTCTCTGTGTGAGTCTGTGGGGTCTCTGTGTGAGTCTGTGGGGTCTCTGTGTGAGTGAGTCTGTGGGTCTCTGTGAGTCTGTGGGGTCTCTGTGTGTGGTGAGTCTGTGGGTCTCTGTGTGAGTGAGTCTATGGGTCTCTGTGTGAGTCTGTGGGCCTCTGTGTGAGTCTATGGGTCTCTGTGTGAGTGAGTCTGTGGGGTCTCTGTGTGAGCGAGTCTGTGGGGTCTCTTTGTGAGTGAGTCTATGGGTCTCTGTGTGAGTCTATGGGTCTCTGTGTGAGTCTGTGGGGTCTCTGTGTGAGTCTGTGGGTCTCTGTGTGTGTCTATGGGTCTCTGTGTGAGTCTGTGGGTCTCTGTGTGAGTGAGTCTGTGGGGTCTCTGTGTGAGTCTGTGGGGTCTCTGTGTGAGTCTGTGGGTCTCTGTGTGAGTCTGTGGGTCTCTGTGTGTGTTTATTGGTCTCTGTGTGAGTCTGTGGGGTCTCTGTGTGAGTCTGTGGGGTCTCTGTGTGAGTGAGTCTGTGGGTCTCTGTGTGAGTCTGTGGGGTCTCTGTGTGGGGTGAGTCTGTGGGTCTCTGTGTGAGTGAGTCTATGGGTCTCTGTGTGAGTCTGTGGGCCTCTGTGTGAGTCTATGGGTCTCTGTGTGAGTGAGTCTGTGGGGTCTCTGTGTGAGCGAGTCTGTGGGGTCTCTTTGTGAGTGAGTCTATGGGTCTCTGTGTGAGTCTATGGGTCTCTGTGTGAGTCTGTGGGTCTCTGTGTGAGTGAGTCTGTGGGTCTCTGTGTGAGTCTGTGGGGTCTCTGTGTGAGTCTGTGGGTCTCTGTGTGAGTCTGTGGGTCTCTGTGTGAGTGAGTCTATGGGTCTCTGTGTGAGTCTATGGGGTCTCTGTGTGAGTGAGTCTGTGGGTCTCTGTGTGAGTCTATGGGTCTCTGTGTGAGTCTATGGGTCTCTGTGTGAGTCTGTGGGTCTCTGTGTGAGTGAGTCTGTGGGGTCTCTTTGTGTGTGAGTCTGTGGGTCTCTGTGTGAGTCTGTGGGTCTCTGTGTGAGTCTATGGGTCTCTGTGTGAGTGAGTCTGTGGGTCTCTGTGTGAGTCTGTGGGGTCTCTGTGTGAGTCTGTGGGTCTCTGTGTGAGTGAGTCTGTGGGTCTCTGTGTGAGTGAGTCTGTGGGGTCTCTGTGTGAGTCTGGGGTCTCTGTGTGAGTGAGTCTGTGGGTCTCTGTGTGAGCGAGTCTGTGGGGTCTCTTTGTGAGTGAGTCTATGGGTCTCTGTGTGAGTCTATGGGTCTCTGTGTGAGTCTATGGGTCTCTGTGTGAGTCTGTGGGGTCTCTGTGGGTCTCTGTGTGTGTTTATTGGTCTCTGTGTGAGTCTGTGGGGTCTCTGTGTGAGTCTGTGGGGTCTCTGTGTGAGTCTGTTGGGTCTCTGTGTGAGTCTGTGGGGTCTCTGTGTGAGTGAGTCTGTGGGTCTCTGTGTGAGTTTGTGGGTCTCTGTGTGAGTCTATGGGTCTCTGTGTGAATGAGTCTATGGGTCTCTGTGTGAGTCTGTGGGGTCTTTGTGTGAGTGAGTCTGTGGGTCTCTGTGTGAGTCTGTGGGTCTCTGTGTGAGTCTGTGGGGTCTCTGTGTGAGTGAGTCTGTGGGGTCTCTGTGTGAGTGAGTCTGTGGGTCTCTGTGTGAGTGAGTCTGTGGGTCTCTGTGTGAGTCTGTGGGGTCTCTGTGTGAGTCTGTGGGGTCTCTGTGTGAGTCTGTGGGGTCTCTGTGTGAGTCTGTGGGGTCTCTGTGTGAGTCTGTGGGGCTCTGTGTGAGTATGTGGGGTCTCTGTGTGAGTCTATGGGGTCTCTGTGTGAGTGAGTCTATGGGTCTCTGTGTGAGTGAGTCTGTGGGTCTCTGTGTGAGTCTGTGGGGTCTCTGTGTGAGTCTATGGGTGTCTGTGTGAGTCTATGGGTCTCTGTGTGAGTCTGTGGGTCTCTGTGTGAGTCTATGGGGTCTCTGTGTGAGTCTGTGGGTCTCTGTGTGAGTCTATGGGGTCTGTGTGAGTGAGGCTGTGGGTCTCTGTGAGTGAGTCTGTGGGTCTCTGTGAGTGAGTCTGTGGGTCTCTGTGTGTGTCTAGGGGGTCTCTGTGTGTGTCTAGGGGTCTCTGTGTGTCTATGGGTCTCTGTGTTAGTGAGTCTATGGGTCTCTGTGTGAGTCTATGGGTCTCTGTGTGAGTGAGTCTATGGGTCTCCGTGTGAGTGAGTCTGTGGGTCTCTGTGTGAGTCTGTGGGTCTCTGTGTGAGTGAGTGTATGGGTCTCTGTGTGTGGTGAGTCTATGGGTCTCTGTGTGTGGTGAGTCTGTGGGTCTCTGTGTGAGTGAGTCTGTGGGTCTCTGTGTGAGTGAGTCTGTGGGTCTCTGTGTGAGTGAGTCTGTGGGTCTCTGTGTGAGTGAGTCTATGGGTCTCTGTGTGAGTCTGTGGGTCTCTGAGTCTGTGGGTCTCTGAGTCTGTGGGTCTCTGTGTGAGTCTGTGGGTCTCTGTGTGAGTCTATGGGTCTCTGTGTGAGTGAGTCTATGGGTCTCTGTGTAAGTGAGTTTATAGGTCTCTGTGTGAGTGAGTCTATGGGTCTTTGTGTGAGTGAGTCTATGGGTCTCTGTGTGAGTGAGTCTATGGGTCTCTGTGCTAGTGAGTCTATGGGTCTCTGTGTGAGTGAGTCTGTGGGTCTCTGTGTGAGTCTATGGGTCTCTGTGTGGGTGAGTGTATCGGTCTCTGTGTGAGTGAGTCTATGGGTCTCTGTGCTAGTGAGTCTATGGGTCTCTGTGTGAGTGAGTCTGTGGGTCTCTGTGTGAGTCTGTGGGGTCTCTGTGTGAGTCTGTGGGGTATCTGTGTGAGTGAGTCTATGGGGTCTCTGTGTGAGTCTGTGGGGTCTCTGTGTGAGTCTGTGGGTCTCTGTGTGAGTGAGTCTGTGGGTCTCTGTGTGAGTCTATGGGGTCTCTGTGTGAGTCTATGGGGTCTCTGTGAGTGAGTCTGTGGGGTCTCTGTGTGAGTCTGTGGGGTCTCTGTGTGAGTCTGTGGGGTCTCTGTGAGTGAGTCTGTGGGGTCTCTGTGTGAGTCTATGGGGTCTCTGTGAGTGAGTCTGTGGGGTCTCTGTGTGAGTCTGTGGGGTCTCTGTGTGAGTCTGTGGGGTCTCTGTGTGAGTCTGTGGGGTCTCTGTGTGAGCCTGAGGGGTCTCTGTGTGAGTCTGTGGGTCTCTGTGTGAGTCTGTGGGGTCTCTGTGTGAGTGAGTCTGTGGGGTCTCTGTGTGAGTCTGTGGGGTCTCTGTGTGAGTCTATGGGGTCTTTGTGTGAGTGAGTCTGTGGGTCTCTGTGTGAGTCTGTGGGTCTCTGTGTGAGTCTATGGGTCTCTGTGTGAGTGAGTCTGTGGGTCTCTGTGTGAGTCTGTGGGTCTCTGTGTGAGTCTGTGGGGTCTCTGTGTGAGTCTGTGGGGTCTCTGTGTGAGTCTGTGGGGTCTCTGTGTGAGTCTGTGGGGTCTCTGTGTGTGTTTGTGGGGTCTCTGTGTGAGTCTGTGGGTCTCTGTGTGAGTCTATGGGTCTCTGTGTGAGTGAGTCTATGGGTCTCTGTGTGAGTCTATGGGTCTCTTTGTGAGTGAGTCTATGGGTCTCTGTGTGAGTCTATGGGTCTCTGTGTGAGTCTGTGGGGTCTCTGTGTGAGTCTGTGGGTCTCTGTGTGTGTTTATTGGTCTCTGTGTGAGTCTGTGGGGTCTCTGTGTGAGTCTGTGGGGTCTCTGTGTGAGTGAGTCTGTGGGTCTCTGTGTGAGTCTGTGGGGTCTCTGTGTGTGGTGAGTCTGTGGGTCTCTGTGTGAGTGAGTCTATGGGTCTCTGTGTGAGTCTGTGGGCCTCTGTGTGAGTCTATGGGTCTCTGTGTGAGTGAGTCTGTGGGGTCTCTGTGTGAGCGAGTCTGTGGGGTCTCTTTGTGAGTGAGTCTATGGGTCTCTGTGTGAGTCTATGGGTCTCTGTGTGAGTCTGTGGGGTCTCTGTGTGAGTCTGTGGGTCTCTGTGTGTGTCTATGGGTCTCTGTGTGAGTCTGTGGGTCTCTGTGTGAGTGAGTCTGTGGGTCTCTGTGTGAGTCTGTGGGGTCTCTGTGTGAGTCTGTGGGTCTCTGTGTGAGTCTGTGGGTCTCTGTGTGTGTTTATTGGTCTCTGTGTGAGTCTGTGGGGTCTCTGTGTGAGTCTGTGGGGTCTCTGTGTGAGTGAGTCTGTGGGTCTCTGTGTGAGTCTGTGGGGTCTCTGTGTGTGGTGAGTCTGTGGGTCTCTGTGTGAGTGAGTCTATGGGTCTCTGTGTGAGTCTGTGGGCCTCTGTGTGAGTCTATGGGTCTCTGTGTGAGTGAGTCTGTGGGGTCTCTGTGTGAGCGAGTCTGTGGGGTCTCTTTGTGAGTGAGTCTATGGGTCTCTGTGTGAGTCTATGGGTCTCTGTGTGAGTCTGTGGGTCTCTGTGTGAGTGAGTCTGTGGGTCTCTGTGTGAGTCTGTGGGGTCTCTGTGTGAGTCTGTGGGTCTCTGTGTGAGTGAGTCTATGGGTCTCTGTGTGAGTCTATGGGGTCTCTGTGTGAGTGAGTCTGTGGGTCTCTGTGTGAGTCTATGGGTCTCTGTGTGAGTCTATGGGTCTCTGTGTGAGTCTGTGGGTCTCTGTGTGAGTGAGTCTGTGGGGTCTCTTTGTGTGTGAGTCTGTGGGTCTCTGTGTGAGTCTGTGGGTCTCTGTGTGAGTCTATGGGTCTCTGTGTGAGTGAGTCTGTGGGTCTCTGTGTGAGTCTGTGGGGTCTCTGTGTGAGTCTGTGGGTCTCTGTGTGAGTGAGTCTGTGGGTCTCTGTGTGAGTGAGTCTGTGGGGTCTCTGTGTGAGTCTGGGGTCTCTGTGTGAGTGAGTCTGTGGGTCTCTGTGTGAGCGAGTCTGTGGGGTCTCTTTGTGAGTGAGTCTATGGGTCTCTGTGTGAGTCTATGGGTCTCTGTGTGAGTCTATGGGTCTCTGTGTGAGTCTGTGGGGTCTCTGTGGGTCTCTGTGTGTGTTTATTGGTCTCTGTGTGAGTCTGTGGGGTCTCTGTGTGAGTCTGTGGGGTCTCTGTGTGAGTCTGTTGGGTCTCTGTGTGAGTCTGTGGGGTCTCTGTGTGAGTGAGTCTGTGGGTCTCTGTGTGAGTCTGTGGGTCTCTGTGTGAGTCTATGGGTCTCTGTGTGAGTGAGTCTATGGGTCTCTGTGTGAGTCTGTGGGGTCTTTGTGTGAGTGAGTCTGTGGGTCTCTGTGTGAGTCTGTGGGTCTCTGTGTGAGTCTGTGGGGTCTCTGTGTGAGTGAGTCTGTGGGTTCTCTGTGTGAGTGAGTCTGTGGGTCTCTGTGTGAGTGAGTCTGTGGGTCTCTGTGTGAGTCTGTGGGGTCTCTGTGTGAGTCTGTGGGGTCTCTGTGTGAGTCTGTGGGGTCTCTGTGTGAGTCTGTGGGGTCTCTGTGTGAGTCTGTGGGGCTCTGTGTGAGTATGTGGGGTCTCTGTGTGAGTCTATGGGGTCTCTGTGTGAGTGAGTCTATGGGTCTCTGTGTGAGTGAGTCTGTGGGTCTCTGTGTGAGTCTGTGGGGTCTCTGTGTGAGTCTATGGGTGTCTGTGTGAGTCTATGGGTCTCTGTGTGAGTCTGTGGGTCTCTGTGTGAGTCTATGGGGTCTCTGTGTGAGTCTGTGGGTCTCTGTGTGAGTCTATGGGGTCTGTGTGAGTGAGGCTGTGGGTCTCTGTGAGTGAGTCTGTGGGTCTCTGTGAGTGAGTCTGTGGGTCTCTGTGTGTGTCTAGGGGGTCTCTGTGTGTGTCTAGGGGTCTCTGTGTGTCTATGGGTCTCTGTGTTAGTGAGTCTATGGGTCTCTGTGTGAGTCTATGGGTCTCTGTGTGAGTGAGTCTATGGGTCTCCGTGTGAGTGAGTCTGTGGGTCTCTGTGTGAGTCTGTGGGTCTCTGTGTGAGTGAGTGTATGGGTCTCTGTGTGTGGTGAGTCTATGGGTCTCTGTGTGTGGTGAGTCTGTGGGTCTCTGTGTGAGTGAGTCTGTGGGTCTCTGTGTGAGTGAGTCTGTGGGTCTCTGTGTGAGTGAGTCTGTGGGTCTCTGTGTGAGTGAGTCTATGGGTCTCTGTGTGAGTCTGTGGGTCTCTGAGTCTGTGGGTCTCTGAGTCTGTGGGTCTCTGTGTGAGTCTGTGGGTCTCTGTGTGAGTCTATGGGTCTCTGTGTGAGTGAGTCTATGGGTCTCTGTGTAAGTGAGTTTATAGGTCTCTGTGTGAGTGAGTCTATGGGTCTTTGTGTGAGTGAGTCTATGGGTCTCTGTGTGAGTGAGTCTATGGGTCTCTGTGCTAGTGAGTCTATGGGTCTCTGTGTGAGTGAGTCTGTGGGTCTCTGTGTGAGTCTATGGGTCTCTGTGTGGGTGAGTCTATAGGTCTCTGTGTGAGTGAGTCTATGGGTCTCTGTGCTAGTGAGTCTATGGGTCTCTGTGTGAGTGAGTCTGTGGGTCTCTGTGTGAGTCTGTGGGTCTCTGTGAGTGAGTCTGTGGGTCTCTGTGTGAGTGAGTCTGTGGGTCTCTGTGTGAGTGAGTCTATGGGTCTCTGTGTGAGTGAGTCTATGGGTCTCTGTGTGAGTGAGTCTATGGGGTCTCTGTGTGAGTCTGTGGGTCTCTGTGTGAGTCTGTGGGTCTCTGTGTGAGTCTGTGGGGTCTCTGTGTGAGTCTATGGGGTCTCTGTGTGAGTGAGTCTATGGGGTCTCTGTGTGAGTCTGTGGGTCTCTGTGTGAGTCTGTGGGTATCTGTGTGAGTGAGTCTGTGGGTCTCTGTGTGAGTCTGTGGGTGTCTCTGTGTGTGTCTGTGGGTCTCTGTGTGAGTGAGTCTGTGGGTCTCTGTGTGAGTGAGTCTGTGGGTCTCTGTGTGAGTGAGTCTGTGGGTCTCTGTGTGAGTCTATGGGTCTCTGTGTGAGTCTATGGGTCTCTGTGAGAGTCTATGGGGTCTCTGTGAGTGAGTCTATGGGTCTCTGTGTGAGTGAGTCTATGGGTCTCTGTGTCAGTGAGTCTGTGGGTCTCTGTGTGAGTGAGTCTATGGGTCTCTGTGTGAGTGAGTCTGTGGGTCTCTGTGTGAGTGAGTCTATGGGTCTCTGTGAGTGAGTCTATGGGTCTCTGTGTGAGTGAGTCTATGGGTCTCTGTGTGAGTGAGTCTGTGGGTCTCTGTGTGAGTCTGTGGGTCTCTGTGTGAGTCTGTGGGTCTCTGTGTGAGTCTGTGGGTCTCTGTGTGAGTCTGTGGGTCTCTGTGTGAGTGAGTCTGTGGGTCTCTGTGTGAGTCTGTGGGTGTCTCTGTGTGTGTCTAGGGGTCTCTGTGTGAGTCTGTGGGTCTCTGTGTGGTGAGTCTATGGGTCTCTGTGTGTGTCTGTGTGAGTCTATGGGTCTCTGTGTGAGTGAGTCTATGGGTCTCTGTGTGAGTGAGTCTATGGGTCTCTGTGTGAGTGAGTCTGTGTGTCTCTGTGTGAGTCTGTGGGGTCTCTGTGTGAGTCTGTGGGTCTCTGTGTGAGTCTGTGGGTCTCTGTGTGAGTGAGTCTATGGGTCTCTGTGTGTGTCTGTGTGAGTCTATGGGTCTCTGTGTGAGTGAGTCTATGGGCCTCTCTATGGTGAGTCTGTGGGTCTCTGTGTGAGTGAGTCTATGGGTCTCTGTGTGAGTCTATGGGTCTCTGTGTGAGTGAGTCTATGGGTCTCTGTGTGAGTGAGTCTGTGGGTCTCTGTGTGAGTGAGTCTATGGGTCTGTGTGAGTGAGTCTATGGGTCTGTGTGAGTGAGTCTGTGGGTCTCTGTGTGAGTGAGTCTATGGGTCTGTGTGAGTGAGTCTGTGGGTCTCTGTGTGAGTGAGTCTATGGGTCTCTGTGTGAGTCTATGGGTCTCTGTGTGAGTGAGTCTATGGGTCTCTGTGTGTGTCTATGGGTCTCTGTGTGTGTCTGTGGGTCTCTGTGTGAGTGAGTCTATGTCTCTCTGTGTGAGTGAATCTATGGGTCTCTGTGAGTGAGTCTATGGGTCTCTGTGTGAGTGAGTCTATGGGTCTCTGTGTGAGTGTGTCTATGGGTCTCTGTGTGAGTGAGTCTATGGGTCTCTGTGTGAGTGTGTCTATGGGTCTTTGTGTGAGTGAGTCTGTGAGTCTGTGTGAGTCTGTGGGTCTCTGTGTGAGTCTGTGGGTCTCTGTGTGAGTCTGTGGGGTCTCTGTGTGTGTCTATGGGTCACTGGGTGAGTCTATGGGTCTCTGTGAGTGAGTCTATGGCTCTCTGTGTGAGTAAGTCTATGGGTCTCTGTGTGAGTGAGTCTATGGGTCTCTGTGTGTGTGAGTCTGTGGGTCTCTGTGTGAGTCTGTGGGTCTTTGTGTGTGTTTAAGGGTCTTTGTGTGAGTCTGTGGGTCTCTGTGTGAGTCTGTGGGTCTCTGTGTGAGTCTGTGGGTCTCTGTGTGAGTCTGTGGGGTCTCTGTATGTGTCTATGGGTCACTGGGTGAGTCTGGGTCTCTGTGAGCGAGTCTATGGCTCTCTGTGTGATTAAGTCTATGGCTCTCTGTGTGAGTCTAGGGGTCTCTGTGAGTCTGTGGCTCTTTGTGTGAGTCTATGGCTCTCTGTGTGAGTCTCTGTGCGAGTCTGCGTAAGTCTGCGAGTCTGATGTCCGTCTCCACGTGTGTGTGTGTGCGTGCGTGCAGGTCTGGGTGCGAAAGACATCGGACAGTAGTAAGATCCGTGTCTACCTATCTCAGCTGCAGCGAGGGAAATACGTCCTTCGAAACAGATCCACCTCCTGATAGACACACACACACGGTACACACACACACCGTACACACACACACCGTACACACACACACCGTACACACACACACCGTACACACGCTACACACACACACGGTATATACACACACACGGTATGTACACACACACAGTACACACATACACACACGGTACACACACAGTACACACACACACAGTACACACACACGACACACACACACACGGTACACACACACAGTACATACACACACCGTACACACACACACACAGTACACACACACACGTACACACACACACACACAGGTACACACACACAGGTACACACACACACGGTACACACACACACGGTACACACACACACGGTACACACACACACGGTACACACACACACAGGTACATACACACACAGGTACACACACACACGGTACACACACACACACGGTACACACACACACGGTACACACACACACAGTACACACACACGGTATATACACACACGGTACACACACACACACCGTACACACACAGTACACACACACACGGTATGTACACACACACACGACACACACGACACACACACACGACACACACACACGACACACACACACACACCGTACACACACACACGGCACACACACACCGTACACACACACACAGTACATACACACATACACAGTACACACACACACCGTACGTACACACACACACCGTACACACACCGTACACACACACATGGTACACACACACATGGTACACACACAATACACACACACACACACGGTACACACACACACAGTACATACACACACACACGGCACACACACACTCACACAGTACACACACACACCGTACACACACACACCGTACACACACCGTACACACACACATGGTACACACACAGTACACACACACACACAATACACACACACACACACACAGTACACACACACAGTACACACACACAGTGCACACACACAGTACACACACATACACCGTACACACATACACCGTACACACACACACAGTACACACACACACGGTACACACACAGACACTGTACACACAGACAAGTGTACACACCTACACACGCTGTGTATACACAGACACGTGTACACACCTACACACGCTGTGTATACACACAGACACGTGTACACACCTACACACGCTGTATATACACACAGACACGTGTACACACCTACACACGCTGTGTATACACAGACACGTGTACACACCTACACACGCTGTATATACACACAGACACGTGTACACACAGACACACGCTGTGTATACACAGACACGTGTACACACCTACACACGCTGTATATACACACAGACACGTGTACACACCTACACACGCTGTATATACACACAGACACGTGTACACATCTACACACGCTGTATATACACACAGACACGTGTACACATCTACACACGCTGTATATACACACAGACACGTGTACACAGACACACGCTGTATATACACACAGACACGTGTACACACAGACACACGCTGTGTATACACAGACACGTGTACACACCTACACACGCTGTATATACACACAGACACGTACACACCTACACACGCTGTGTATACACAGACACGTGTACACACAGACACACGCTGTGTATACACAGACACGTGTACACACAGACACGCTGTATATACACACAAACATGTGTACATACACACACACGTGCACACACACGTGTACACACACACACACGTACATACACACGTGTACATACACACATGCTGTATATACACACACACAGACACACGTGTACACACACACAGGCACGTGTACACACACACACACGTGTACGCACACACAATGTACATATACACACACGTGTACATACACACACAGACACGTATACACACGCTGTATATACACACAGACACGTGTACACAGACACGTGTACACAGACACGTGTACACAGACACGTGTACACAGACACACGTGTACACACACACACACGTGTACACAGACACACGTGTACACACACACACACGTGTACATACACACGTGTACATACACACGTGTACATACACACAGACACGTGTACACACACTGTATATACACACAGACACGTGTACACACACACACGTGTACATACAGACACGTGTACACACACTGTATATACACACACGTGTACACACACGTGTACACACACACAATGTACATACACACGTGTACATACACAGACACGTGTACACACGCTGTATATACACACAGACACGTATGCACACTGTATATACACAGACGTTTACACACACACGTGTACATACACACAAAGATAAAGATCCCCCGTATAGCCTTAACAGACTGTAGGGGCAAGTGTTGTTAGCGAGCACCTATGAAGGCCGGAACGGCACACGAGGGAGTGGGTGGCCAGCACCACGCCCGACCGCCTTTGTCTCCCCAGTGGCGATGTTCACTACACACCGCACCAGGTACTCATTTGAGGCTGAGTCGACCTAGGGGAGGCCCGGGACCGGTTCAGATAATCGTCACCGGTGTTGGCCGTGAGCGGGAATCGAACCCGGGTCGCCAGGTTCATAGCACAGCGTAGCGCTAACCGCTACACACACCAACACACACATGTACACACGTGTACACACACACACACGTGTACACACACACACGTGTACACACACACACGTGTACACACACACACATGTACACACACACACATGTACACACGTGTACACACACACACGTGTACACACACACATATGTACACACACATGTACACACGTGTACACACACACACGTGTACACACACACATGTACACACACACACGTGTACACAAAGCGTGCGCTGTGTGCGTGTGTGTGTATATATATCCGCGTGTTCTAAAGGCGTAGGGCGAATCCGCAGCCTCTCCCGTCGTGTTTGCAAGGAGGTTCACCTCATATTCCTGGCTCTTTCGGTAAAGTCACGTTGAAGGGAAACAATAAAATATCAAAAAATATATATATATAAAACAATAAACATTCTCACGACCACAACACAAACGGTCGTCATCAGGTGCGTCGGTTTGCGTTGAAAACCGACGCACCTGATGACGACCGTTTGTGTTGTGGTCGAAACGTCGCGAGAATTTTTATTGTTGTTTTATATATATTTTATTTATATTCTTAGTTTTTTCGGTAAAGTCACCACGTTGAAGGGAAACAATAAAATAATTAAATATATATAAAACAATAAACAAATTCTCACGACGTTTCGACCATAACTCAAACGGTCATCTTCAGGTGTGTTGGTTCGCATAAATTAAATTTTTAAACGGCGCATTTATTTATTTATAAAAAAAACGTTAGCGCCACGCGCAACGATTTGGCAGTTTACCCAGGACTAGTCCATCTATATTCTGAAAAGAGGAGGGGGGGGAGACGAAATTTTTATTTTTAATTGTTTTATATATTTTTATTATTATTTTGTTGTTTCTCTTCAACGTGACTTTACCGAAAAAAACTAAGAATATGAATTACTGCAGTCACGAAAACTTTAAATCAAAATTTAAAAAATATATTTTATTGTTTCCCTTCAACGTGGTGACTTTTACCGAAAGAGCCAAGAGTGTGAATTACTGCAGTCACGAACGCTTGAAATCAAAAAGAGGTTCACTTTTGTTTGACTCCGAGAGGGGAGGGAGAGGGATGTGGTGGTGGTGGTGGGGGGGAACGGGGTTGGTTTGTGACTTGGCTCATCCTCCTGTGCTGTTGGCACAGGAGGATGTGGCGCTGTGGGAAGTGAATTTGTTACGGACGCTCGATACACAGTGTTTAATTAAAGGAGTTTTATCACCTTTTAGGTGTGTGTCTAAGTGTGTGTGTGTGTCTAGGTGTGTGTGTGTGTCTAGGTGTGTGTGTGTGTGTCTAGGTGTGTGTGTGTGTCTAGGTGTGTGTGTGTGTCTAGGTGTGTGTGTGTGTCTAGGTGTGTGTGTGTGTCTAGGTGTGTGTGTGTGTCTAGGTGTGTGTGTGTGTCTAGGTGTGTGTGTGTGTCTAAGTGTGTGTGTGTCTGTGTTTAACTCGTGGTTTAGTGGTAATTAATTGAAGGTGGAGGGGTTACCAGCCCCTCGCACCCGTCCACAGAGCCCCCGTTTAGCCCCTGTGGTGGACACATATGCCATGTGAGGAGGAGCCAATCAAAAATTGGCCCTCCCCCCACAGCACTGTCCACGACAGAGTTGCCCGTCCGGCACCGCGAGGAGGTAGGGGGTTGTTTTGCCGGACACAGTAGGGGGCACAGGTGATGCATCAGCCAGTCATCTCAGTCATCTCAGACGACCCGTGGCACCTGCTGGGTCTGCCCCGTGACCTGCCAGCGGGCGTTCGACACTTCACGTGGCCTCAGGGTGCACATAGCCTGGCACAAGCGTCGTGGTGACGTCACCGCCACTTAGTGGCGAATGGCGGTTGTTGTGTATGTGTGTGTGTAGGTGTGTCCAGGTGTAGGTGTGTGTGTGTGTGTCTAGGTGTGTGTGTGTGTCTAGGTGTGTGTGTGTCTAGGTGTGTGTGTGTCTAGGTGTGTGTGTGTCTAGGTGTGTGTGTGTCTAGGTGTGTGTGTGTGTCTAGGTGTGTGTGTGTGTGTCTAGGTGTGTGTGTGTGTCTAGGTGTGTGTGTGTGTCTAGGTGTGTGTGTGTGTCTAGGTGTGTGTGTGTCTAGGTGTGTGTGTGTGTCTAGGTGTGTGTGTGTGTCTAGGTGTGTGTGTGTGTCTAGGTGTGTGTGTGTGTCTAGGTGTGTGTGTGTGTCTAGGTGTGTGTGTGTGTCTAGGTGTGTGTGTGTGTCTAGGTGTGTGTGTGTGTCTAGGTGTGTGTGTGTGTCTAGGTGTGTGTGTGTGTCTAGGTGTGTGTGTGTGTCTAGGTGTGTGTGTGTGTCTAGGTGTGTGTGTGTGTCTAGGTGTGTGTGTGTGTCTAGGTGTGTGTGTGTGTGTCTAGGTGTGTGTGTGTGTGTCTAGGTGTGTGTGTGTGTGTCTAGGTGTGTGTGTGTGTGTCTAGGTGTGTGTGTCTAGGTGAGTGTCTAGGTGTGTGTGTGTGTCTAGGTGAGTGTCTAGGTGTGTGTGTGTGTCTAGGTGAGTGTCTAGGTGTGTGTGTGTGTCTAGGTGAGTGTCT